ATCAGATATTTATAGTATTGGAGTGCTTTTATGGGAAATTTCAAGTGGTCATGCTCCATTTGCAGATAAGTCAATCACATCCAATTATATGATAGTTGCCATAATATTAGGTAAACGTGAAGCAATAATCAAGGGAACTCCAAAGAAATATGCAGAAATATATTCAGGTAATAATGAGAAAGTGATTACGTAACCACTGGCTATAATTTTTTCAATGAACTGTTTATACCAATATTAAAATTATTATTTTTTTATAAAGCATGTTGGCAAGGAAAGCCAGATCTCCGTCCTCATATTCATGAAGTTATGCAGGATTTGGACAGTGTAGATATAACTAACACTATTGAAGATATTGTTAATTTAACTCAAACTAATCATGAATTACAAATTGATGGTTTAAATAACCATTTAAAGGAGGATAAATTACAAAATGATTTATTATATTCAATGGAACTTCTGTTATCTGCATGACTAGTTTAAACAACCACTTAAATAAGAAAAATAAGAAAAGTATGCAATATATGAAAGTGTATAAAATAGATAGATGTATTATTAAACATGCACAGATGTATGATTATAGATTTATTATTTTTATAATTCTGTCAATTTCTAATTTTTCATTTAATTATTCAAATCATTTGTTTCATTTGTTTTGTTCAAATTATTTATTTCATCTGCTGTATCTATGGGGATTTTTATTTTTGTATTAGGAATATGATGCTTCAAATATGCATTTGATTATAATTTAAAGAATACATCATAAATAGTTTGATTTATTATCAGAATATGCTTGAAGCACATGTAAAATTCATTGAATAAAAGAAAAACATATAATAATAATGATAAAATAATGTTAGCAGATCCTGCTTATACAACTATATTATGTAACTATATTTTGCTCAAAAACCTGTTTTTTAAAAAAAGTTCAATTTGCTTGAACTCTAAAACTGGATTGAGATGAACCGACAAGCAATTTAACATCCACATATATATTAAATTCTATCATACCATTTTTGAAAAGCTATCATGTTTCTTCCAATTTTGGTTCAGAAATTATTTAGCTATAAATTTTAAAACAATAACTTTGATACAAATTTTCGCCCAGCTTTTGAAGTTGCTCTTAATAAATTTGATGCACACATTCTTTCACATACTGCCCTCCATCCTTTTCAGGCAGCACGAATTTCTGATTCAAGCTTTATTTCAGGAAAAATCTTTACGACAATATTAATATAGAATTTGAAATACATAAATATGAAACTCAGAGGCTACTTTTTTTGTAAAAGAGAAATGTTCATTCAGATTTAATAATGACGGATGTCCTATATTTCTAATTCATTGATTTTGTTCTTCTAATGTTGTTTTTACCTTGAATTTGTTTTACCTGCCATAATTTTGGATATTTATTCTTATCAAATAAAATTTCAGCCAAGTTTAAGTCCTTGTGCTATTGCACAAAAAACAATATATTAATGAACATGGCTTATAAAAAGTCCCTTAATACCAATAAGAAACTGTATAATTCTAATTCCGATTGTTTTTCATTTGTTATATCTTTAATATCACCTTTAATATTGACTTCCTGACAAAATTGTTTAAGTAATTTATACCAAGGAAATTTGTTCTATTAAATGAATTAACAGAAATTGATTACCATCAGAAATTGAATCAGCGGTTAACATATCAATATTGAAAGGCGGAAACAGCAATAGGTAAAAACGTTTAAAAAAGGATTATTATTTATTTGTAAATTTGTATAAGAAACAAAGAAAAGAAAGATTGAACTAATAATTAAAAAAAGTAATGATATACATATTTAATAAAATCGTAAATTATTTTGACTACCTGTTTCATGTTCCCTGATAACTACTTTGACTACCTGTTTCAGGCCCCCCTGATAACTACATTGATTTAAGGCTGTGGGCAAAACTTCTCCAGAAATCAATTGACAGAGTTTTGACAGATTACACATTAATTGTTTATTAGAGTTTCAGCAGAATTTTGCATTTGGGGTTTTGTCAACCGTCAGAATTTGACAAGGTATATATTAATTGTTCGTTAGAGTTTTGACAGAGTTTTGACAGTCACTAAGAGATTTCGGCAAACAACCTTACTTTGATTTCAGGTATATGTTTCATAAATACTATGGTGTGTATCACTTATACTCATCAAAAATTTTCATGTGACTTCTAACTGTATCTAGTCCACCAATTTTAAAAATTTTTAAAAAATAAATGGTGCAAATATTCCTTTAATTGATTCTCTTTCAATTCCACAGATTAAATTTTTTAATTGCTTAATTTTTTGGGGAGCTGATAGTGTTTAA